GCCGGCCTCGACCTCCAATCCAGCTCGCTCTCCGTAATTATCGTCCGTTATTGCGATCGCACACATCCATTATTGCTATCGCACACATGCGTTCTTGCACACACTATGTCTATATTCAAGAGGTTTGCGCGACGCATGCGGATCACAGGAAGGACGGGGGTGAGAAGGACCAGGAGGAAGAGGAGGAGAAAAATAGCGATGGCCGTGGCTTCGGGCTTGTGGAAAGGAGGGGGAATGGGACACGAAGAATCCGATTGGGGTGAGCCAGTGTAGGATGATGACGGAAGTTGTCGGAGGTCGTGGGGAGGGTGTGGGGAGACCCTCGTGGGAGGGTCTTTCGCGTGGAATGGTCGAAAGACGCACTGGAGGCCGCCTGGCTGCAGTCGGCCTACCCCGAGCCGTCCAGCGGGACTTTCCGAGCAGCAGCCCGTAGCAGTTGGCACATCGCATCCCGAGCATCCTGAAGCAACGTTGATTGCGGTTCGTTGTGGGCCTTTGGAGGCCTCGGCGGGGAGGGGTTCTTCAAAGCCTTTTAGGGGTTCCTGAAGGCCTCCTGGCCCCTTCTGGGGTTTCTTGGGGATCTGTTGGGGGCCTCTCGGGGCCATGGCTGGGTCTCAAGGGCCATCTTATGGGGTAGGGCCTTTGGAGGCCCCTTGAGTTCACCCTCCTGGGCCTTTTTGAAGCCCTCTTGGGGCTCGCCTGGAGCTCTCTTGGGCAGTCTTGCGCGCCTCATGGGATGGGAACTGCCACGCGCTGCGAATCGGCTTGGGGGCAACACTTTGGGCCACGCCGTCGTCCTCGTCATCGCGCTCCGACGTTGCGTGCCTGTGGTTGGCATGCGTATTCCAGCCTCTCTTCCTCCTTCGCTTCCGTCCCATTTCCCTTGTGTGCCGCCGTTGTGGCTCATAAGGCCCCTTGAGTCACCTGGCGCGCAGGCGACGGGCGCGCCCTGGCCCCCGTAAAAGGAAAGATCACGTGTTATCTTATAGCGCGGGCCCCCCTGGTTGTAGTTCGTGTCTATTAGTGTTTCATAGAGTTACCCCCGTACGTTCCACAGTGGCAGCGGAACGCGTGGTTCCGATCCACGGGGGGAGTCAGGCTGACTCCCCCGCCACCCGACTTTCGTGTGACATATTCAATGTTATTCTCGTTTTCTTCCCTCTTCGCACACTCTTTCGCAGAGCGCAGCCATGGGCGGCCCAGCCGACCGAGGACGAACTTCTGGATAACCTTTGGGTACAACCAGGGCAAGGCCTTTTGGCAGGAGGCGGAAGGCGAGGAGACGCTCTTTGGGACGGTGGTGACGAAATGGGTTGGTCAGACGAAGACTGGGCCCGCTGGCATTCACAGCCCAGGACAGATACACCGTCCAATATGCAGTCATCTTCATGAAGTTGTCAATTTGGAACGCGCGGGGCCGTGGTTTGCCGGCTGCGCTAGCTCGGTTGAACGCGCCTTTGCGTGGACAGGCTACGCCGCGCACGCCGACATATCGGGGGACGCTACTGCCAGATCTTTTTCTGATCATCGGAAGGGGACAATTTACTGAACAAGCGCATGCCCCACACATACCGAATGGCTTACCTCCCACCTGGGGTGGAACAAATCATGATACTCGACGAGACCCTTCCCATGAATGAGCTGCAGATGTGGCTCACAAGTACCAGAACCCTGAAAGGACAACGCGGAGACCTCAGCTACCGCTACGCCAGAGACGACCTACAGAGCATCATCAACGAACCCACCGGAGATCGGATGTCCTCGGAGGACAGTGGGCAGGTTGTGGCCAAACACAACAAGAAGGCTTTCGCCGAATAACAAGAACGCAGGGCCCCGAAGCCATGTTGGCATCTCTTCTTTCTATCAACACCAACTGTATGCGATATCACTTTCTTGTCAACCGTATTGCTCGCAAGCGTGACCGTGCCGGAGGAGTTGAAAAAAAGGGTGCATGCTTCTCAGGGGATCCAAGCTCAGCGAAGCCGCTTGGGGTGCGGTTGAGCACTGGACTGAGGGATCATATGGTTTTGGCGCGGCGTGCGAGAAGCTCCGCGGGCCTGAACGACCAGCGCCCTCAGGGCAAGGTGGCCATAGCATTCATGGAACGAGTTCCGGCTCGCACTTCGTCGGATGCCCTGGAGATGAAGACGGATGTGACGAACGGGATTGTGACCATAATGTCTTTGCTGGATTCCCAGGGGGCAGTCTTCGTTCACCTCGCCAGGTTTCCACGAGGAAGACGACGTCTTCAATGGGCCCCCTTAGGTTCATGGACGACTTTGACGTATTTTTCGCAGCTGGAGACATGCCTGAGGATGCGATGTTTGACGAACGAGGCAGTCGCCATCTCCGTCAACTACAGCCAGGCGCGACAATCTTGCACGAGCGGAACGAGGCTTCTTCAAACAGTCTCCTCCGAAAGGCGAGCCCAAAGGCTCCCGCGATGGGGGCGCGTCGAGGGGGGCGGTTTGGACGTGCTCGGCCGAAGCGCCGGGCCGAAAGCGTGCCGATGAGCCGCTCGAAGTGCGCCCGGCGCGGGAAGACGGGGCGCCAGGCTCGGGGCCGCGCGAGCGGGCCAGGCAAGCGAGGGCGCCGACGGCGAGCAAGTTTCGGCGGTTCCCAGGGCGCCCCTCTCGAAGCAGACGACGTCAGGCACGGCGCTAGTCAACTGGGACACACGACGCAGTCTGGAGATAGTTATTTGATTTTACATTGTCTTTGCCGTTGCCGACGCTGGCGAACAAAGCTTCATCGGCGCCCAGGTCCACGCGTGCGCCGGCCTGGCGGATGCTGGAGCCCAGCTTGGAAGATGCGGCAGGGATGAGTTTGAGAAAACGGTGAGATACCTGGGGTGGTTTGGACCGGTGCAGGTGCCGACTCCTGAAGAAATTGACGCCATGGATGTCGGCGGATCGACGAAGTTTCTCTCCGGCTGGACTTTGCTGGTCGCCGCGGCAAAGAACTGCGGTGCTTTCGCGGTGCATTTGATTGCCTGCGATGCGCCCCTGGTGCCCCGAGTGGAGATGCTCGGGCAAGTCGGCGCGGTTCTTGACTTGCCAGGGGGCGCCATCACTTGGATGGCGTTCGACGGCAGCCAGTCGAGGGCGAGCGGGGTAGGGGCAGGCAGACGCCCCGCGACAAGTGATGGCTGGCAGAGATAGAAGATAATCACTACAGTCTCTCCGACGACTTAGGGGCGCCACCAGGTCACTGAGCTTGAGGGCGCCGCGCGTCGCGTGAATCCGCAGACGCCCTCGGATCGAGCCAGTCTTTCTCGCCCAACTGCTTCCTCTCTTGACATCTCGCGCGACGTTGAACAGCGCGGGGCGCGCCCTCACGAAGGAGGGCCGCAGCCGGAACCTCCGAGCACCGGGAGGTCCAGTCAGCCCTTGATGGCTCCAGAGAAGCGGACGTGGAAATAATGCTGGAAGACTGCGGGCGCCAACAAATAATTGCACGGGGCCGCCCGGAGCCTGCCCGGCGAGGCTCGGCCACCCGCGCCTCAGGCCCGCGACTGGAGACTCGTCCCTCGAGTTCTGAAGGCCCCCGGCGGAGAGTGGCTTGCGGCGGGCAAGAGGCTGGGGCCAGGCGGCGCGGGCGCCGCTGGGGCAGCGCCGAGACCCTCTGTTGGGCGCGCGACGACTGCCAGATGCGTTGGACGAGGCTCTCTGTCTAGGGCTTCATCAGCACGGGCGCGCCGCGCCGCCAGGAACGGGCGACGCCCGGCGCGCGCGCGGGCTACCTTCAAGGAGGTCCACGAGATGGGCTTCCACCGCTGCGAGCGGCGCGCGAAGACTCGCGAGTCCAGCGAGCCAGCGGCGCATCGAGGACTCACGCGCCTGGCGACGCGCGCGGCCGAACGCGAGATGCAGGAGACATCGTGGACGGGGGCGGCACTGGGCGGTCGCGGAGGAGACCGACGTCTGTAGGATTCGCAGGCAGAAGTATCTACAACTGCCGCAGGGCACATGTCCGAGTGCATCGCGGGCCCCGCAACGAGCTCATCACCCCTGCCGACGCCGTCGGCTCACTTTCTGCAGACGGTTTGACAGGCGAGTGGATGACAGAGGTTATATATTCCGATGGTACTACTGAGTTATTTTTGGATATTTGGTCTGACTCTTCCCATGGCAGTGCACTGGCCAAGAGGTGGGCTGGCCGCGCCTTCTTTCGCCGCAAAGCCGCTATTATCACGATTTTGGTCGTCGTTTTGCTGGCGAGTACTTGTCCTCATAGCACGTGTCTCCGCCAGGTTGGGCAGCTTATCTCCCCGGGCACTGCCGGCGCGAGCTGGCTGGCCCAGCATTGGGCGCGCGCGCGGCCGTGCTCGAAGGCATCCCTGGTAGACCCTGGCAGTCCGCCTTCGCCGGACTCGGTTGGAGCAGCCGAGGCCCCCGGGGGGCAATGGCGACTGATTTCGTGGCGGGCCACCAGTGGGGCATGCACTTTATCTTCGGAGCCCGAATAGGACGGCATTGCGGCGATTCCTGACCAGCTGATAAAGCAGATAAGCAGGCACCTTCAGTGAACGACGCCAGTCTCAATCTTCCCTCGGAAGCGGCCCCTGAAGAAGGCGGGCCCTGTCGACGACCCCGGCGCCGGACCTGATGGCGATGATGAAGTGCCCTCTCAGCCCGACCCGACACCTGCAACGGGCCAGCTTGCCCCACGACAACTCTGGCCATCCGGGCAATGGAGATTTTGCACGACTTTTGAGACGGGGCAGCGCCGTGCCAGAATTGGCACGCTGGGCACCGCGCAAATTCCAAGTGCGACGAGTGCGGCTCGCGCAAACGAGCCTGTGCTCGCCGCCCTGCTGCTGCCCCCAAGTCTTACCGATTCAATCATGTCGTCGGCATTGACTTGGTTGAGGTCGAGCGCCCACTCGATGTTGCACCGCATGATTGGGTCAACATATTTGTTTGGGGGGCGCGTCTTTACAATTAGTTGGGCATGTGGGGGCAGGGAAGTCTGCGGACGTAGCATGGCAAGCATGCGCG